CGTAGCCCTATTTACTCTGTCACGGAACGAACGGAGCTGCCCTGTTTATGTGTTCCAGCCCGCAGTTCCGGTCACTCCGTGCACAGAAGAGAGAAAGAAGAACTGTGTAGAATAAAGCGCGCCACCCTGATACCAGCCCGTAGCGTGCGTTATTCTGCCACGGAATGAACAGAGCTGCCCTGTTTATGTGTTCCAGCCCGTAGTTCCGAACACTCCGTGCACAGAAAATAGAAAGAAGGACTGTGTAGAATAAAGAGCGCCACCCTGTCACCAGCCCGTAGCGTCCGTTATTCTGTCACGGAAGGAGCAGAGCTGCCCTGTCCGTATTCCAGCCAGCAACTCCGTTCAACCCGTGTACAGAAGAGAGAAAGAAGAAATGTGTAGAATAAAGAGCGCTACCCTGTCACCAGCCCGTAGCGTCCTTTATTCTGTCACGGAAGGAACAGAGCTGCCCTGTCCGTATTCCAGCCAGCAGCTCCGGTCAACCCGTGTACAGAAGAGAGGAAGAAGAAATGTGTAGAATAAAGAGCGCTACCCTGTCACCAGCCCGTAGCGTCCTTTATTCTGTCACGGAAGGAACAGAGCTGCCCTGTCCGTATTCCAGCCAGCAGCTCCGATCAACCCGTGTACAGAAGAGAGAAAGAAGAAATACCTGCATTCTTACCCGTACTTACATTAAACGGTCGGCTAACATCTGGCGTCGCGGCGCTGCTGACGGCGGCGGTACTGGCGGCGGCGGCGGTGGTTTTACCTTATCGGTCGGCTGCGGCAGGTCGGAGCGGTCTGGTCGGTTTCGGAGCTCGGAGAGAAGTGACCAAACGCAGTGCGTGCTGCTATATTTATAAGCGGGAGGCACCGCGTCATGTCGTCGTCGATCGGCAGCGCAGATATCAGCGGTGGGGAATTGAGTTTTTGAAGCGCGTCGCGCACGTCGGTTTGTACTGGAGAGTGCTTTGCAACCGAGGTCACGCGTAGCCACAAAATATCAGTAGCAAATTAATTTAATTAACGGAAACGCGGATAAATTAGTAAAAATCTAGTAACCTACGTTACAATGTCCGGTCGACCAATGATTGAGTTTCAACCGAGGTTTCAACCTTCGGTCAACTCTACATTGTAATACCGACCCTTAGAGTCCTTGAAAATATCTCCATCACATATTTTCTTCCTTTTCTTAACATTATCCATGATTAAAAATTCCAATTAAATTTAATCTCCGACTAAATTCAAAGTTGGTGTCAAATGATAGTTTATAAAAATAATCTAATATAGGAATGTAAAATCGGTTTTCCTCTAAAATTAACCGTTCAGGTTTTACAGCCTGTCAAAGTTGCAAAAAGTCAATTTTCAACTGTCAATATTTCCAAAACAGTTGAACTTAGGTATAGAGTATATCACATGAAATCTGCTCAGAATTTTACGTAGAATCCAAATATGCAATCACATACAGGGTGTTTTATTTAAAATAGCGATGTTGCCACTGGTTTAGAGTAGAAGCGGCAACACCACATAAACAAAAATATTTTTAAAGTGTAGATTAGGGTTGTTTATCTTGGTTGCCAAATTTTCAAAATGATCCGCTGTCCAGTTTTCCATTAACGTCTAATACGCCATCCACCGTGGGACACCCTGTATCTGGAAAATGAAGCATTTCCGGACACATGTTTATTAAGAAAAAAGCTTTATTTTTACGAGATCTACCATCCCTAGAAGTTTGTAACAAACCTTTCGTGACACCCTGTATATTCAAGTAAATAGAGCAAAGTATGAAGTAATTGCTTCTAGTACAGGGTGATCTATTATAAATGTAACCCCCTGCTAACTTTTTCATTTGACGTTTTTGACAGAAGTGTCAAATACAAAAGTTTCAAGAAATTGTCAAAAGTTTTTAAAAAAGTCAGTTTTAGGCATACCAGGGTGCGTCAAAAAAGTGCAGCAGCATGAAGTTATATTTTTTTAAATGGATCACCCTGTATATTGTGCGCCTATTTGTTAGTCCCCTTTAACCTGTTTTCAACGATATAGGGTTTGATATGCCTATCTTCAACAGTTATAGGGAAAAACATGAAAACCCCTTTTAAGGTTTCATATGAAAAAAGGAAAATTATACCATTTAAGCTTTATAGAATTTTTTTTATTATCAGTTTATTGTTCAAATTTTATCCATTAATTTACAAGGTGAAATATTATAATAAATCCAGATGTCTAAGCTATCATTATTATTTAAAAAAAAAATAATATGAGAGACCTAGGAAGGAATTTTCGCGTTTTTCCCTATAACTATTAGAGATAAACCGAGGGATAAACATATCAAACCATATATCGTTGAAATCAGGTTGAAGGGGACTAACAAATAGGCGCACAATATACAGGGTGTTCCATTTAAAAAAACATAACTTCATACTGCTGCACGTTTTTGACGCACCCTGTATGCCTAAAACTGACTTAGTTAAAAACTTTTGACAATTTCTTGAAACTTCTGTATTTGACACTTCTGTCAAAAACGTCAAATGAAAAAGTTAGCACGGGGTTACATTTATAATAGATCACCCTGTACCTACTTACTTTAAGAATTATGTGGAGTAAATGCTATAATTTAAGTGAGAACTACAAAATGGAGCATTTACTTGAAGTAAAAGCAAATACTCTTTTCAATCATACCGCTCAATGTCTTCAACACAAAAAGGTGGATGAATCAGAAACTATTTTAAGCAGGATGTTTTGTATGTGGGCTTTTACACAACACGTTTTTCGGGATTGGTTAATTTCTTCAATGAGAAACTTTGTTTTTGAATATTTAATTAAGGTTGATATAAATAACACTTGATTCTACTGAAATCTGGAATCTGTTATGAATGATTGATATCTGAAGACTTGAGAATGATTCAGAGCTGGGATCGTTACTTGAAAAAAGTAAAGCGTTACTTTACAGTTACTTTTGCTTAAAAATAACTCGTTACTTAAAATTTAAAGTTACTTTCGAATAATGATAACTTTATTTTCGTTACTTATTGGAAAGTAACGCGTTACTGTAACTTCTTTACTTTGAAAGTAACTTCTTTTCTTTAAAAGTAGTTCGTTACTTTTAAAGTAACGCGTTACTTCAAAAATAACTATTTACGTCGAAAATTGCGTTACCTATTCCTTAATTTGACTCACCAACACAGCAGTCCAAACAATCAAATAAGACCTATACGAAATGCCAATATGTTTTTAGTTTGTGAGTCCGACTATGTGGAAGAGTATTCTTGCAAAATTCAAACGGATTAAGGATTAAGCGACTGAATAGAGCACTTGGTTTTGGACAAACCTGCTCTTTGAAGCGTCCCAGTGTCTGCATAGTGTCTTTAGAGCAGAGGCGGCACGTGGCACGCCCAAAAACGATTATTTTGAGCTTTCAAAACAAATTTTCTGTACTACCAACATTTTATTTGACATACAAAGTTTTTGAATTACTTATTTTCCTTTTCTTCACTCGTTAATTATTTGTAAAGAAGATAAACAAATTGAGAGAACGTGTTACTTTCATAGTAACTGATAACGCGTTACTTCCAGCGTTACTTCAGAAAAGTAACCAAGTTACCAAGTAACGCGTTACTTTCAGTAATTCGTTAAAGTAAAGTAACTTTTTTTTGTCGTTACTCCCAGCTCTGGAATGATTGAATGAACGTGAAACCTAACTTATCTACGTTTTTTATGACAATTTAAAATATATCATTCTTGCAGGTCTGCAGGTACAATAAATAAATAAAAAAACAATAAAAATCTCATATAGTTAGTGGCAGGGAGTACCTAACCGAACTGGCCTGCTGTACTACCGGGATTTTCAGAAGAGTGAAGAAATATGAGAGGTATTTGGATTTTCTGAATCAAATATGGATCGACCGAAAATATTGGGACCCTTCAAATCCTATACGTTGTTTTTAATATTACCAAGCAAGTGAAGTTTCGTGTACTATGTATACAGTTTTTAAATAATCCTACAGTTTCCTATGTATAGTTTTTGAATAATCATACAGTTTTGTATATTTTCGTATGGTTCTCCATTCGTAGGTCGTTAGATAAGGACTCTATGTGAAAAGTATACCAAAAAACTTCCAAAACGAGACATCCTACCATTACGTCCCAAAAAAATCAAATTTGGTTTAATTAATCTGGACAACAATACGGGATCTGGATGCATGGGGTAACTTATAAAAAAAGTGGTGATACAGTTGTTTTGGAAATTTTAATCCTTTTTGAAATAAAAACCATTGATAATTATGAAACAAATTTACTATTCGTTTAGCAATTGAATTCGAAAATATTTGATGTCAAACACATAAGCTTCTGAAAAGGATAAAACTATTCATTTTTGATAAAGCATGAATATTTTTAATAAAAATATTTGGATAAACTCGTTTAATAATAGAAAAAAAACTATATGGCATAGCGGAAATGAAAAATAAAAATGTTTTCTACACAAGATTGCTGATTATTTTCTGGAAAACTTGACACTTTGCACATAAAAGCTTTAACTATTATCCGTTATAATTAAGAAAAATAACGTCACCACAATAAAATACGACCTTAATCAAGACCTCTCTATGTTTACCGACGTAATAAAAGCATATTATTTCCCGGAAACAAAACTCCAATAAGACCTCGACGTCATTTTATTTTTCCACGATATTGTTCCATAACACCCTCGGAGAAAGAATCCATATAATCTCGCTTTGTGTTTTGTGCGATTTTCGTTCCAGCGAAACCAATTTTCAGTTTTGAAAAAGCCAAACAAATGTTATAAACTAAATGATAGAATAAGAGAATATTAGAGATAACATTTTAGTCACATAAATGATGGGGGGTTTTACAAAGCATCAACATTATTATTCAGAGTTTTCTTGTTATATATTTCCCAACCTTCTTCTAATGTCCTTGCATTTAACAGTGTCTCTTTCATTCTTTAACAGTATAAGATTGGTTAAACTTAGAATAATAATTTGAATATTTTCTTCTAGCCATAAAAGCTTCATTACTAATCCAAAAATGGTACCGAAGGTACATGGCAAGACTCGAAGTGAGACGACGGTACACGTGGACCATATTTCAGACATTAGAATACGCTGGAGAACAGGATCAAGTCAAACTCTACAACTTTTTCAACGCCCTTCTAACCCACATACCACAAACTGCTAATAGGGACGGCTACAATTCGAAAACCGCCAGCAGAAGTTCTTCGTTTGACAATTTAGATTTAGAATTCGAAGACGAGTCCCCTGAAGAAGAATACTCGTTTGATCAGGAGGATAAGAAGACTTTGAGGAATTTCGTTTTGGAATATCCGTATACTGAAGAGAAAATTACACAGCTTATAGAAATATTTAGGAAGCATAGAGTAAGTGAATTTTGGTAATTGCTATAGCAGGTGAATTTGATACTCTACCTACTAATCCACCATATGCAAACTCAGGGTGTATACTACTACTTTATTTAATTGCTTTTCGATTTCAGCATTTCAGGTTACCGCCGAAAGTTGTGGCCGATATTCTGCGAAGATCGATAACGGCCCTTCGGAAACTTCCAAACATTAGTGTGGTGTCGACGGCCCTTTCGAAACAAATCACTGTTTGTGGAGATTTACACGGAAAATTCGACGACTTACTCGTTATTTTGCACAAGGTAATTTCTTTACTTTAAATTTGCTCCCATCAATAGAGTGAACTTGGCTTTTAAATTTAATCATCGCGAAAAGCTTTTTGAAAGCGCCTACTTACTCGTAGTAGGTAAAGTGTTTGCTCTACTAAACGGGAGTCTTCGTTTATCATAAATGTAACGTTTTTATGCGTCAAAAAAGCTTCCGGTCCTTTTCATGATTTCCCAAGCAGAGGAAATCGTTTTGATTTGTGACAAAAAGATTGAATAGATTTAGGTTTGTACGACACACACAATTTATTTTCGAGGAAGAAGCTCCACAGAAAATATTATCGATCTTAACACCGGCTAACCAAATATAATCCCATTAGCAAATATAGGAGTATTGCCATTAAACATGAGCGCACCGATACCTGCACCGATACTAGAATTTAAAATAGTTTCCTATATCTCTGGCTTCAAAATATTTAATATTTGCATAGAAAGTTGCCATGTATTTCTCTTATAAAACTGCCATAATATTGTCAACTAATGGTCTATAAATAAAAACCATCCTGTATATCAAAAATAGTTAAAACTAACTAGAACACGATTTATCGACAGTCAGCGGTTTAAGCAGGTCAACGCGTAAATTATGTTTACACGCCATGAATATAAAAACCCGATACAACCATGGTATCGGCATCCATTCGGGTCTTTCTCTTCTCAGGGTCTCCTTACCCCAGGAAGCATTAACCCCTTCGGATCACTCTCTCCTCAGGGTCACCTTACCCAAGGGAGCAGTAGCTACATTCCTCTTCAGGGTCACCTTATCCCAGAGAGTCTTACCCTCCAGCAGGGTAGCGTTGCCTATACGTGCAGAACCCGTATTCCTACATAGAGCCCCAGCACAAGTGTCATGTGGTACACCTACGTAGTGCCCCTTTGGTAATGTACCTATTGGATGACAATATACACTATTCCCGTTGTAGTTGTGTGTTTTCCTGAAGAGCAAACCCTAACCTCAGGTCTAACCCTCACGAGCCGAAAGGGCCTTGTGTGACAATATAGCTGCATATGATAAGGCATTCCTCCGATATCTACTAGGACTACGGTGACGGTAACGGTAACGGTTAATCGGTAACAGAAAGCTCCAGGAACCATGATCGGTCCAGCTCCTATACCGTCAGCTTGCAGGATTAGGCCTTTGGGCCTCGTGCGCGAATTCGTATTTCGAGCAGAATGCAGGTAAAAAAGAGAGGAGAGGTGTGAAGAGTAAAGAGCACTACCCTGGTCGTATCACAGCCCGTAGTCCTCTTTACTCTGTCACGGAACGAACGGAGCTGCCCTGTGTGTGTTCCAGCCCGCAGTTCCGTCACTCCGTGCACATAAGAGAGAAAGAAGAACTGTGTAGAATAAAGCGCGCCACCCTGATACCAGCCCGTAGCGTGCGTAAATCTATAACGGAATGAATAGAGCTGCCCTGTATGTGTTCAAGCCCGCAGTTCCAGTCACTCCGTGCACAGAAGAGAGAAAAAAGAACTGTGTAAAATAAAGCGCGCCACCCTGATACCAGCCCGTAGCGCGCGTTATTCTGTCACGGAATGAACAGAGCTGCCCTGTGCGTGTTCCAGCCCGCAGTTCCGGTCACTCCGTGAACAGAAGAGAGAAAGAAGAAATGTGTAGAATAAAGAGCGCTACCCTGTCGCCAGCCCGTAGCGTCCTTTATTCTGTCACGGAAGGAACAAAGCTGCCCTGTGCGTATTCCAGCCCGCAGCTCCGGTCAGCAGGTACTGCAGGAAACGGCCTATATCAATTTAACGTCATGCCATTTGGATTATGCAATGCACCTGCCACTTTTGAAAGACTGATGGAGTTAGTTTTGCGAGGACTGACTTGGGAAACGTGCATAGTATATCTGGATGGTGATTGGCAAAGATTTCGACGAACACCTGTCGAATTTGAAGGAAGTTTTTGCCAGGATTCGAAGTGCCAATTTGCAACTAAATCCCAAGAAGTGTGTCTTATTCCAGGAAAAAGTAAACTTCCTCGGCCATGTCGTCTCATCAAAAGGAATAGAGACAGATCTAGATAAAGTCCAAGCGGTGCGAGATTGGCCTAGACCAAAGAATAAACATGAAGTTAAAAGCCTCCTGGGACTCTGCAGTTACTACCGCAGGTTTGTTAAGGATTTTGGGAAGATTGCGAAGCCTTTACATGAACTAACTGAAAAGAACCTGGATACCTGAATGTCAACAGTCTTTCGTGGAGCTGAAAAATAAATTTACTAGTGTTCCAGTTCTGGCGTATCCCAGGGATGAAGGTATATTTATGTTAGACACCGACGCTTCGCAAAGTGGAATAGAGGCTGTTCTTTCCCAAATTCAAAACGACGAAAAAGTAGTAATTGGTTACTTCAGTAAGTTTATTGGTCATCAGTTATTTTGGTCAGGCTAGTGAGAATCTTTCTATTGTTCTGGATAGTTTCTCTGATGGAAAGTTGGTATATTGATAACGGTGTCACAAACCACATCACGAATCGTACAGTCTTGCATGGGACATATAAAAGTTTCAATGGAGATCAATGTGTCACTACTGCAAATGGTGATTTAATTCGAGCAATTATTGGCAAGGGTAAAATAACAGTTATTGTTGGCAGAAATGTAGAAGAAGGAATTATTACAGATACCGGGTATATGTTCCTGATGTCAAGAAAAATCTGTTCATGTTCATATATTCGACGTATGGCCAAAGAAAAATTCGAAAAGTATGAATCCTTGTGTCTTATTTTTGGTATTATTATAACTGCGTATTGGAGAATGTTGAATGGGTATTCATCTGGATGTTCCGTTTTATGAACGCGGATCATCTCCGTTGAAGTTGTATGGAATCTTTCCAGCGATCCGTTGGATTGTAGGTGGCTTTCGCTTGAAAATGTCAATTTTATGTCGTAGAGTTGACAGAGGCCTTTGAGTAAGGCGTTGTTGAATTCACCTCCACAATCACAGTGAATTCTTAAAGGTGTACCTTAATGTTGGAAGAATACTAGTAGGGTGTTAACAATGGTGGACGCCTTTTTGTCTGAGATTGGGTAGGCTTGAGTGAATTTAGTAAGTTCATCCCTAACTATTACCAACTCTAGATTCAATAGATGTCAGTCCAGACTTGAAGAAACACTAATAATCAAAATTTTGATTACTCAAAACAACTCGAGTCGATATTAATCAAAATTTCTACTTAAGTAACTCTACAGAAATTTTCCAATGAAACAAGAGCCAGACAATCACAATTTGAACTATCTCCGGCGCTTGATTCGCTGGAAAACTTTCCTGAAACCAATCAAGAGCCGGTAATCGATAAAGTTTGAATTATTATCGGCTCTAGATTCACTAGAGGATTTCTCTAAAGTCAGTCCAAACTCGAAGAGACGCTAATAATCAAAATTTCGACTGCTTACAACGGCTCTTGAGTCGATATTAATCAACATTTTTACTTAAGTGGAGTAGGGTAAGTATGACAGTTCTACGCCCTCCGTCCTCCGGAGGAGATGACGTCACTGGTATCTAGACCTGTATACAGCTAGACAGGTCTAGAGACAGGTGACGTCATCTCCTCCAGAGGATGAAGGGCGTAGAACAGTCATACTTACCCTCAGGTCAACAGGTCTGTATACAGCTATACAGGTTTGGAGACAGGTCTGTATACATCTAGACAGGTCTAGAGACAAGTGACGTCATCGCCTCCAAAGGACGGAGGGCGTAGAACTAAGATTTTTCTTACAGAATATGATTTTTTGGCAAATTTCATAGGCTCTGATGAATTTCTCAACATTCTTGGTTAAACTTTGCCAGGAGTATTATTTGTCTTTAATTCTTCTAACGGTTTCATTGATTTCACTATGTAAATTTGTTTTTCCAGTATGATATTAGTCCAGGATAATTGGGAGAATATCGTCCATGTAGACTAGACTGTAGATTTTTCGTTTTGAATACCGAGGAGAATATTATCCATGACTCTTTGGAATGTGGACGGGGCATTTTTCAATCCTAACGGCATACGTACGAATTTATGATGGCCATTTTCTACGGAAAAAGCGGTTTTCGAAGCATCCTTCTACTTGGTGAAAACCTGAGGTTAGGTCAAGGGTGGTAAAATATTGACATTTTCCCAATTGATCCAGAAGATCGGAAATATTAGGCAGCGGGTATTTGTCGTCTACAGTAAGTTTGTTAACTTTACGGTAGTCGATTACGACGCGCCATTTGGGTTTGCCAGAAGCATCAAGTTTCTTAGGAACGACCCAGACGGGAGAAGACCATGGCGATACAGAATGGCGGATTATGCATTTTGGTAATTTTGGATTTGACTTCTTCTTTGTGGATTTGGGGATAACTGTAAGATTTGGTATACACAGGCTTTGCATTATTGGTGTCAATAGGGTGACTTGCTATTCAGAAAACGGCCCTTGAAGCAGCCTGATTGTCTGAAAGTTTGCTTATGTTTTGGTTGCCTTAGAATCTCCTGTGCGCATGCTTGAATTGCATGAATTTCTGCCTGGTAAACTGTGCATGGCGTCAAGCCCCATATACGCCAGCTCCATCTGTCTGTATACCAAATCAAACATCTTCTTATCATGTGAGACGTTCCTTCCTACCACATGACTTTGAATAGTTTTTCAAACTTACTGGAACACTTGGGAGAGGATTCTGACTGTCCTGTCTCATAAGCCACTCCAGAATACCGTAACATTAAAATCACTAATAATACATATAGTGATGTTTAAAATCCTGATAATTCCATAAATTCTAGTTACGCTACTGAAATAGTTACCAACAAAAAAGCTCCTATATTGGATCATTATCAGCTACATGCATGTGCACCTATTCGCGCTCTGCGTGGCTCCGAATGATTATTTACCAAACAAAAGTCATTAGCGAGTCAATAATAAAGCTTCAAAACGGCACGAAACCGTTTAAATTGTTGCAGGAAATGCAGTGCGCGGTTATTTAATTGTTAAGTAAATCGTGTGAAACTTCAGCCGTATTGAATTGGGAGCGTGAAACTTTGGTATTTAATAAATTTATTGGAACATAGTAGAAATTCTACACACCGATTTAGAGCTAGAGTTTTGTAATTCTAAATTGGGCGTGTGTGGATAGATATTTTTCATGTTGGTACAAAAAAAAGGAACGCCATTTTATCCCCAAATGATAGGCATTATCTCTTTACGACTTTAGATCCTCAAAAAAATTGCCTCGATTATTCTGGATTAGGTTGTTTTTTGTAATTTTTACCTTTTGAGAGTTTTTGGTGAAAGAAAAATAACATGAGAACATGATTAATTATCTTTTAAATTTGCAGTTGATTAAAATTAATTATGTCTATATATTAAAACCCGAAATTCCAAACTCATTTATTTAAATTTTCCTTCCAGAACGGACTTCCGTCGGCCGAAAACCCTTACGTTTTCAATGGAGACTTTGTGGATCGCGGCAAAAGAGGTCTCGAAGTAATTCTGGTGCTTCTTTTATGCCTGATCGCATTCCCTGGTGGAGTCTATTTGAATAGGGGCAATCATGAAGATCACATCATGAACCAAAGGTAAAAAAAAGTAGGTTTCTGTAATAGAGATTTGTGTTTGATCGTATTATAGGAAATATGAATTTTTAACTTGTGTATTTTTTTTTCTTTAAAGATATGGATTTATAAGGGAAGTGCAGTCAAAGTATAGGGTAAGTAGATTCTTAATATAACATGGGGCAAAGTTTAATTAAATTCCAAACAAAAAAGCAAGTAGATGATCCGCATTTCAAATACTTATTACAAAAATATTTAGCTGGAATTCTAAATAGCCGGATTAATTAAATATAAAGAGCAAAAGCTCGCCCATCAGCCCTAACTTGAATTAAAGATTTCATTCAAAATGGTCTCTATTCAAGCCAATTACTACTCTTAGCCTGAAAGTTGTACGGTTTGAAAATTTGATTTTCATAATTCTGTTTGATATTTTTTGTTCTTAATTAAATGTCGCATTAAATTTGCTCAAACTGAATTGCACAGCGCGGTCGGTTTAATGAGAGCCTTTGGTTTTATGCAAATGAGGTTATTATGGCATTAATTTTATGAAAATTGCTTTTTTTTTTCATCGGATTTGTTTGGAGTGCAGGTTGAGATAAGTGCGCATTCACCATTAGGGCCTTAATCAATTTTTCTCAATAATTCACGTTCTATTGGGCAGATTTGAATAATTCTTTTACCAAAAATTTTCAAATAATTGGTGTTAGAACACTTTGGAAACAAATTAACCTTAACCCGGGAGTACACGCGTGTCGGTCAAAAAGACCGACCATTGATAAAATCAGTAATAACGCAACTGGTACAAGGGTGGTAGTTTTGTCCATCCAAGAATGCCCGATGCAAGTTTTCTACTTCTCATTGTCCCAAAAATATTTTGATTTTTTGTTGAAGCTTTTGCAAGTATCACATCCAAAAGGATAGGTATTCAAATATGTTAGTTTGTGATTTTTCAAAAAGCCTTTTCGTTTAAATTTTGCTTTGCAAGTGTCACATTCAAAAAGAAAAATATCCAAGTGTTTCACTTGGGTGACTCTTCAAGTCGAGTTTTCGTTTAAATTTGGCTTTGCAAGTGTCACATTCAAAAGGATAAATCTCCAAATGTATTAGTTTGTGATTCTTCAATTAGGCTTCTCGTTTAAATTTTGCTTTGCAAGTGTCACATTCAAAAGAAAAAATATCCGAGTCTATCAGTTGGTAATTCTTTAAGTCGAGTTTTCGTTTAAATTTTGCTTTGCAAGTGTTACATTCAAAAGAATAAATATCTTAATGTGTCAGTTTGTGTCTTTTCAATTCGCCTGTTGTTTTCATAGTCGGTGCTTCAGGCGCGTGAGTATCTGAAATATTTGTGTTTAAAATTGAGCTTTTCAGATATTGGGAGTACCTTTAGCTGTCGATAATACGGTAACTGACCTGCATAATATAATTTCCTTTGTGCTGATTATGAATTCTAAGAATTATAGTGCTTGCACACTTTTTTCGCGGAAACGATCCCATTCCCAAACGTATGCTGAACGCTAAGGCATGACTCATGCAGGTAATACTTGAGAGTTTCATGTCTCTATTGATTAGTAAACCTGCGTAGGTCATGCCTTAGCGTTCAGGATACGTTTGGGATCGTCTCCGCGAAAAAAACTAAAAATTCATATAAACTTTTGGGCAGTCGGTCGATTTGACCGAACGCGTGTAATAACGGGTTAACTGAATAAAATTTATTTAATGGACAAGTCAAAATAGAGCTATATAAGAGTACTCTAGTGAATGGGAATAACCCCTTAATAATTTTTGAAAATAAAGTCCCTTTTGACTAAGGTTACCTTGTTGTCACTAGGTATATCCTGCTAGAGGTGACAACTGTGAAGACTGTTGTGTATAGAGTGCAGCCTCACACTCTGGATATAGGCTTGGGTGTTGTGTGGTATGTGGGTTATACACCAGAAAAAGTTTTATACTGATTTATTATTGAAATCAACTGCTATTTATACATAAAGTTATTGTTAAATATAATACGTAATTTGGAAATATGTGATGATTCTGCAGTTGGTTGTATGTATGTATGTACGTATGTGTTGGAGGTGTCAGTTGCACTGCGACCAAGGTTGATCTATTGTTCCTTCTGCTGCTAAGTTCGGGTTTCCTGCTTAAAGCAGCCCCTCTGGTCCTAGGTCCTTCAGAAATTTTAGGATGTCTAGCGGTTCCAGGGCTGGAATGTCTTCCAGCTGTATTAGGGGACTTACCAAGTTCTTCACTTTTGAGCGGCTTACGGCATCGCAGTTCAGTAGAAGATGGTGAGGTGTTTCTTCACCGTTTTCACAGAATCTGCAAGTGTTACCTTTTTCCAACCCCAGATTATGTATGTGTTTATTCAGTCTGCAATTTCCCGAGAGAAACCCGGTTAGAGTTTTGAGACTTTTCTTGCTAAGGTTGACCAGCAGTTCAGATCTTTTTTGGTTGTAGCTACCCAGTAGATCTTTGGCCTGTCGTAGTCCTGGTTGGTCTAGCCATTGTTTGTTCCTTAGCCGGTTCTCTTCCTTTTTGAGGATTTCTTGCAGGTGCGCATTTCCGACGCCGCAGAATGGTTCTGGCCCAGGAAGTGGCCGCTCCCGTTTTTGCAAGTTCGTCTGCGCATTCATTGCCTTCGACTCCTATGTGTCCAGGAACCCAGAGTACGGTTACTTTGTTTTCCTTCCCCAGCTCATTGAGTTTCTGTAGACATTCCCATACTATCTTAGAATTGACTACCGGCGAGCTCAATGCTTTGGTAGCTGCTTGGCTGTCAGACATTAATTTCTCGTTTTCGGTACCTTCTGTTCAGGTTGAACTGCGCGCATTTTCCGATCGCATGAAGTTCGGCTTGGAATATGCTTGGTGATTTGCCCATTGGCTCCGAGTATCTGGTTCGTGGCCCGAATACTCCGGCTCCTGTCCCCTCAGCAGTTTTGGAGCCGTCTGTGAACCATTTGATGGTGTTTGCTTTAAGGGACTGGATATACATTCTATGTTCCATCTGTTCTTTGTACTTAGTTCGATGGAGAAGTTTTTCTCAAAACTGAATTTATCAACAATCGCGTTTTTTGGTCCATGAGGTGTGAGATAAATAACGACCTGGAGATAATAAAGGACTGGGGTAACAAAAACCTTGTACAGTTCAACGCGCAGAAAACCCAAGCAGCTCTGTTTCCAAAAAAGACCAGCACCGGTGAGCCAAACTTCATGCTATCTGGAAGTGCTGTCACATTACAGAGTCAGTTGAACATCTCAGAGACCAACATGTCTTGGCACAGTCACGTGGCAGATATTGCTAAAAGGGCGTCCCAAAAACTTGGGGTGCTATTTCGTACAAGACATTTGTACACACCAAGCCAATTGCTGACACTCTACAAAGCCCAGATTCGACCAACTATGGAGTACTGCTCACATATATGGAATGCAGCACCCAAACATACCTTAATGCTTTTGAACACCGTGCAAAAACGAGCTATATCAAGCTGATCAATGACCCCGCACTTACTCGTAACTTGGAAGGTCTCGAACATCGCAGATCTATGGGCGATTTATCTCTCTTCTACAGGTACTATCACGGAAAATGCTCTGAAGAGTTGCCACGTATAATTCCACCGAGAGTAGCACCTACCAGGCGAACCCGTCAAACAGACGGTAACCATGAATTTACTGTCAAACTAGAGGCACCAAGAACCTCATTATATCAGAATTCATATCTCTGGTGAACAGCATCGCTGTGGAATAAACTCCCTGCGACGGTCTTCCCTGCAGGTTACAACCTGAACCGTTTCAAGAACAACATACACCGACATTTCCGCGCACTTGCCGCTTCTCGAGCGTTATAGGACATTTCCTTGCGAGTGCGCATATCCATAAACAAAAAAACAAAAACCTTATTTTGTTTGAGGTTGCGTTGCAGTTTGCTTGTGTATTCTTCTCAGTTTGTGTTTCTGGGGTTTCTATACGAGGTAGTTCGTTCCTGCACTCCTTTTACTTCAAATATTATGATTCTATGATCAGAGAGAGAGGGTTCATTCGAGATTCTCCAATTCCTGATCATTTGGTCAATATTTGGACTACAAAATGTTATGTCTAACACCTCCTGTCTGACCCTAGTAACAAATGTTGGTATATTCCCTACATTAAGTATATTTAGGTTTGTTTGAAAGATAAATTCTAACAGTTGCTCACCTCTTAGGTTTGTGTCGGTACTTCCCCAAATAGTATTGTGGGCGTTGGCGTCACAGCCAATTAGGAGCGGTAGTTTGTTCCTGTTGCAGTACTCGACTAGTCTCTGTACTTCTTCTGGTAGTGCTTGCCCATCTCCAGCAAAGTAGCCTGATGCCAGTACTAGGTCGCGGTGTGGTGGGTCGGTAGTAAGTTTAACCCGAACCGTAACCAAGTCCCGCGACGTAAATTCTGAAAGACATAAATGATTAATATTTTCATTCAGGAGAATGCATGCTCTAGGGTCGTTACACCGACTGTCCCAGATTATTTTTGCCCCTTTACTTAACAGGCCTTTGATCTGCCCCTGGTGTATCCAAGGTTCTTGGATTAGTATGGCTCCCAAGTGTACCGACGTGAACAACCGTGCTATGGCATCAGATGCTCCCTTAGCGTGATGCGCGTTTACCTGGGCTATTGTGGTGCAATTCGCCATCTTACCTGTTATTGTTGTTTCTGGTGTGGTGGAGTAATGACCTCCTAATCGCCCAGAAGCATTTTTTCTTCCTCACTGGGAACTTCCTCTGCCGGAGTGAGAGTTTTCTCTCCCTTCTCAAGGCCTTCATCCTTTTATCCTTCGTCTTCTTCTGGAGGAGACTCCGGTTTGGATTCCGAGGAGGTGGGCTCTTTTGGTTCCTCGTTTGTTTCTTCTTTACCCTTTCTCTTCTTTAGGCCGTGTACGGGGATTTTCCCGAACCTATAGAAGAGGTTGTACCCTATTTTCCTAATGGTTTCGCAGGACCCGTCGTCTATGCCGATGTTGAGTAGCTGGCCGTTAACCTCGTCCTTGCAGCCCATTACTTTCCACAGCTGAGTGCTAAGCCCTTCGTTTTGGGTGTTTACCAGGTTTAGGATTTTAAGGGGGTCTTGCCGATTGCTGCTTGGGAAGAAGACTGTAATGGTGTGCGCCTTTGGGATGTCGTCTCCTAGGCACACCATCAGCTCTCCTCCCTGTCAGGTTTCCAACCTGGGGACGTGTTCTATCAGCCACTCAACTATTTCTTTGGTGAGGCAATCAATCACCATTATGCTTGGTCGGAAATATATGCCTCCAAATTGGAGTTTAGGTTCCGCCTCTTTCATCATTTCCTCCACAATGGCGTCCTCTAGGGCAGAAAGTTCTTCTGCACTGAGGGTTTCCTTAGGGAATGCCGCGGGAAGTGCTGCCACCTTTATGGTTTTTGCTGACTCGGCGTAGCTGGTGCTTGGCCCAGCGGCTCTGTCAGCATGAGGAGGTTCCGTCCTCTTTCTTTTCACGTCCGCTTTGTGCGGAGGCATTATGTTTTTGGGCCCCCTTTTCTGTGCCTTGTCTGGTGTCTGCACTTTCCTGGTCAGTGCACTTTCTCTGACTTTTTCTGGTGTCATATCCTGTTGAAGAAACCTGAGGTAGCATCGCACTCCAGCTCCACTGAGGCCTTTTCTCAGTCGGTCATCAAGCCCTCCCGGTTGACCAAGAGGTGGGTAGTATGGCTTTTTCCTAGGATCAGCCTTTCTTCTTTGAGGTTTTTCCCCCTTCTTATCTTTTTCAGGGCCCTCTTGTCTCTGAGGTGATTTCGGCGGGTGTGCGAGGGTCCCGCCTGCTGACTGTCTTGGATGTCATGCTCCATTCGGTCAGCAGTTGGTTTAGCGGTGTCGTCCCGCTTTTCTTTGTTTTTTGAGTTTTTCTTATCCATGTTTGTTCCCTAGAATTGCTAGGGAAATAAAGGTCAGCCACGTCGGAGCCCCGCACGACGTGGTAAGGCTGGTTACTTGAAGAGGTCGCCTGGTATCTTCAAGGCTCTGTTTGAGGCGATGCTCTCCCACCGTCATGCACGGATCGCGTTACACCTTGGATTGGAGGGTTGGCCAGCGTCACCTTATTGGATATTCGGTGATAACCTATAAAACATAGGCCATCCGCCACCTGCCGACGCTCCCCCGTAGCCTCCCAAGCCGGGGGCTGCAGTTGGTTAACCCGATGAATTTGTGCTCTTTATCCACGACGATAAGGACTTTTTGGGATATTTACCGTCAGAGAGCAACCTCACTCTCTGCTATGGCCAAGGAGACTTTGGCACAATAAATTGTAGAAGTATTGAGAGACACCGTACGTATACTGGTTGAATCTCATTAAATATTACCAAGAAATCCAAATTAATCTATGCAATTAAATTATAATCATCCTTTGTATTTACAAAGCCAAAATCGATCCAATAAAAGTCTCCGCTAATTTAAACAAGGGATGAAAATCTAATTATCTGCACAGTATATTGCGTCATGGATTTTGCTTGTTTTATGGATCAATTGAATTTACAAAGCATATTCTGAAACTAATTAAAACCGTGTAAACTTATCAGTAACATGGCAACAGATAAAATTAAGTCATCAATCAAACTAGTACTATAATGAATGGTTAAACTTTTGTAACTTTCCAAAACACCCCCAACGTCATCTGTAATTTCAGGCCAGCAAATAAATATAATGCATTTCTAGTTTGTATTTTCCCAATCGGGCAGGCTTATTCTGACAATGATTTATGTAGCTTTATCAATACGCTTGATTTATAAAAGATTTACTATAGCTTGAACTAATTTTTCACACAGTCAATTTTTTTTTTCAGAAAAATCACGAAAGGATCCTGAAACTGTTCGAAAGTGTTTATAGATGGCTGCCGTTGGGTACGATTGTCAATAATCGAGTTTTGATTGTTCACGGGGGAATTTCGGACACGACCGATCTGGAAATGATACGAAGTTTGGAAAGGGAAAAGGTGAGTTTTTGGTAGTATTATTATAATGAAACGATTATTCTAGCTAAATCTTGAATTCTAAATGTCTAAAACTACACTATAAAATAGTTTCTGATTGAAGTTAGCTCGAGGGAAATTAAAACTCGGGACAGAAGAAAATTGCCTCGAATTCGTTAAAACTTTTCACATATATATTAGATTAGATTTGGCCACTAAACCCTTATTAAACCCCATTACATCTCTATCTGGGTAAACCCAAACAATTCGGCCTCCGCAATCTCGGTCCTATCGACGGAGGATTAGTTAATTTTCCAGACCTTTTTCTTAATAAACCTCGACCCTGTGTGAAATTTGAACTATTCAATCTTTTTTTAATAATTGTACGTAACCAGAATTGATTATCTAGGCACGTGTGTTTGAGTTTTGAAAACTTTTCCAATTTAAACTTTAACTCTGCTGATTTGTGGAATTCTATTTAGAAAAGTAAATTTTGCCAAGACTTTCAATACGTCAATTCAACTAATTTTGTTCTTTAAATAGAGAGATGGCTTCATATGTCAGTTAAAAGGATAGAGCTAGCTCTGTTCAATATATAAAACATCTGGCCAATAAATCGGAACAAATTAGTCCCAAATTATGAACAATGGGCCATAATTTAAGGGTAGCACGTGTTCCCTTTTTGTCTGGAAGCTTCCCACAGTTTTCCTGGCTGAATAATGACACATATTTTGGTAAAAACCTAATCCTAAACGCGGTAAAACATAAAATCCAAAATTTCCAGGGCTTGTTTATATAAATATCGCAGACAACCTTTGAGAGGTACAATATAAATACATTTTCATCTGACCCTCTTTAGGTAATAAATGAAGCTTAGTCACAAAGCAAAATAATAGGGGTGTCAATTTCAGACCCTATTAACTCGTAAATCGAACACAAAAAACAATTTCATGGAAACAAACCCTCAAAAATCTATAAAAGAATCCTAAAAATATCAAAATACAAGTTTCCAGTTGAATTAATATGCACTGACCTCAGCCATAATTCGTTTAAACTTCGTCGCACATCGGCCGACTTTATATCCCAGACTTTGCCGGAAAACGACCCATTAAATCCCTCAAAGCAAATGCGCCGGGATTTCGTGAATCAAGATCGTATTCTTCTTGCCAAGATAAAGTCAACGTCTATATCTTTATTCGATGGATAAGATATATTTATTTTCGGGCAACGGTTGCAGAATTATCGGGATCTAGTTATGAATTACTTTTTATAGATGGATTATGCTGACGAAGACTTACATTCCAGCAATAAACAAAATTGAAGTTTGAGTTCCAACAAGAAAGATTGGTAAATCTTCACTCAAAGTTGTCAAAAAAAATCGATAATTTTCCATGCCTGAGGAGTCTGTTGAATAAGAGCAGCTTAAAGGCAATTTTTAGGATGGTTGACAAGGATAGTTGATAGTTTAGGTATAAATTGTGGCGGATTTCTTACATACTGGAACAACTTGGCAGCAGTGGATGGAAAAATATAATTTGTAATAGTGAAGGTTGAAAGAGACGAAGTAAATGGAGCTTGATCACAATTTATATTCCTCTCTCTCACATTCATTCACAGATCAACATCAAGTGTCTCAGAACCTTCTCAGCTATACTACTTAGATATGTACAATAATGTTGTATTTGCTAGTGGCAGCAGTGGATGGAATAATATAATTTGTAGTGGGAACTATCTAGAATCCCAATCTGTATTCCTCTCTCTCATATTTAGGGTGTTTATTTGTACTGTTTTGCTTGCTTCAAGCAGATCTCAAGAGAAGTTTCATTTGTCCCTATTAGAAGCTTTTGAAGAGCAGCTCCTACTAAATCTTTCTGATTTTTGGAGCAGATAGAACAACTACAAATGAACACCCTTATTCATTCATAGATCAAGTGTTTCAGAATATTCCCAGCTATACTACTTAGGTACCTATATTATAATATTGTATTCGGTAATGGCATCATTGGATGGAAAAATATAATTTGTACTAGTAAAGGTTGAAAGGAAGAACCGAATAACTATCTAGGATCCCTCCCAATCTGTATTCCTCTCTCTCACATTTATTCACAGATCAAGATCAAGTGTCTCAAAATCTTCCCAGCTATACTACTTATATTAAATGTTGTTGCTTTCCACTTATGAGTTACAAGTTGGAAATAAGGTGCAGCTTTCTTGAATAATTAATTTTATTTAAGATTCATAAGACAACAGCCAACGTTTCGACCCTATGTCAGTGTCATCCTCAGTGCAATTGGAATTGTATTGAGTGTATTACCTGATACTCAGAAACACCAACTAGAAGATAGATTAAAATTGATAAATCACCCCAAATTGCTTAACACAATTTTATTTCTAGAAGTTAAGTACAATTTCGCGATTCCAAAACTGGCAGTTGCTAGTTTGTCTATATTTGGTTGAGCCGGCTCCAACATATTTGGTTCTAAAAATTTTAAAAATACTATCAGAGAAACCAAGTACCTCAAATTTTACCTGCAGCTTTCACCTGTACAGCTAGAATGGTTCACAAAATAAGTAGTAGAATAATATTTTTACAATTTTTGGAGCCGAATATATGAGAAACTGTTCAATCAAATATAGACAAACTATATATTTTTGGAATCGGGGCATTGTGCTTTTCAAGAATTTAGAATGAAATATAGGACATCTCATTTAAAAAAAAGCTGGAAGCATGCAAAATTTCACATTTCTGACATTCAAATTTTGTGTCTGACCATGGTTTCTAAAAATTCAGCCAAAACTGTACAACTTTTGTATTTACGCCTTTGTTTTACCTGTAAAGGTGAAGAAGGTAGGTGGGGTGTCAATATATAAAAAAGCACCTTGTACAAATAAATGGATTATTGCAGAACTTATGGGTGAACCTCTGCGGGACGAGCGCAGCGAGTTCCGCAGCCATCTACTCACCAATATACTGTTGAACTGTTCAATAAAAAGACTCACCTGAAACGTATAGTAGTTTTTGAACTAATGAGAAAAATTCATAACTGAGTGAATCAGATTAGTATTGTACTTGTATTTTGAACAACATATTGGTGAATAGATGGTTGGGTCCACCCATAAGTTCCGCAACAATCCACTCGTTTGTACTTGAATAACTTGTCACGATATATTACTAATTTGGTAAAGTAACATTACTAATTCCTGTTGAAAGACGAATTGACAAAAAGTGAATACAATAATCATAATCTTACAAATTCTGACTTGATATAATAAGTTATTGTTCAAGTATAAATGTGTGGATTATTGCGGAACTTATGGGTGGACTTCTGCAGGACGAGCGCAGCGAGTTTCGCAGCCATCTAGTCACCAATATAGGTACTGCTGAACTGTTCAACTAACACATTCACTTGAACCATGTAGTTTTTAAACTAATGAGAATAATTCACATTTGAGTGAATCAGGTTAATATCGTAATTAAACAACATAGTGATAAATAGATGGCTGCGGAACTCGCTGCGCTCGTCCCGCAGAGGTCTACCCAAAAATTCCGCAACAATCCACTCGTTTGTACTTGAATTCCTGTTGACCACAAAAAATGGATAATCTTACAAACTCTGACTTCTTCTTCTGATTAATGAAAAACACAAAAAAAAAAACCTCTAAAGCTAACAACTTCAGTGCACAATGGTATTCAAAATACTGTGTGTGCACCCGATTTACTTATCATTTTGATAAATTGAGGTTGGGGTAAAAATTTAAAATAAATTATTTATTACCTTCCTTTCCCAAAAATACAATAAATTCCCTATACCTACTTTAAAAACCTTTTTGGCCTACATAATAAACATGATTCTGGCATAATGCATGTCTAGCAGTTTGTAAGGAAAGATTATTCTGGAATACATTTTTGGCATAATCTGTTTTTATAATATTCAGTTTTTAACATAAATCTTATAGGTAATTGATCTCACATAGAGTTGATCAGGAGTCACTAAATTACTGTCCCTGGTACACCAGTTCTGTAGGATATCTTTTCTTTTTAAAAAGCATTAGGTAGGTACCTTGATTACCTATTTTTGAGCTATAGTAAGTTTAGACATGATTGTTATGCCCGCGCTTCCCCAAATTACAATCCCATAATTAATAATAGACTCTACTAGGGCAAAATAAACTGTCCTCAAAGTTGAAAATGATAATATTCTTCTCAATTCATAGAACTTGAAAATAAGCTTCCTGATTTTATCAGTTACATAGGTATTTAATATGCTCCTTCCAAGTGAAGGTTTCATCAAGAATTATTCCCAAGTACTTTATCGAAGATTTTCTTTCCACTACCTTATCAAAGTTACATAATACACCTAGATCACATTTAGCTTTATGCATAATAAGCTCCTGAAAGTTTGGCAATGTACGAGAAAACAGAGAAAAAGTCAAAAATTTGGTTTTTTCTATATTCAGTGAAGGTAAGCTGCAGTCTAGTCATTTCTTAATAATATATATGTAGTGCTACTTCTGCACTTTCCTTTTCAGAGTCCCAGTCATCTCCACTAATTATTACTCCCGAGTCATCAGCAAAACAAAAAATACCATCAAGTAAATACATAAGATCATTTATATACCGGGTGACAATGAAACTACTACCCACGGCGGCATTTCTTAACGGCTCGAAATAGAAATATGCAATTCCGTATGTCGATAGGGTTGAAAATTTTGAACAATTTTAATATAAAAACAACTAAATGGCTTTTCAGGTTTCACCATAAATGGCATTGACTTTGTTATTTTAAATGGGACACCCTGTATATTATCTTGCATTGTTTACATTTTGCTTTCTTCTAGTTATATACGATTTGACTAGATCATTTGGAATTCCTCTAATACCAACTTTTTCTAAGCGTTTCAGTAGAATTGGGTGAGCCACAGTGTCAAAGGCTTTTTGCAAATCTAGAAAAATTCCAATAACTTTTTTACCTTATCCAGACTTTTTCTGTGACTGCATAGTGCATTTTCCGTACTGGAACCGT